GGGCTGGCTTTGAACCGCGATCCTCAGATCTCAGCCTCCTGAGTAGCTAGGATTACAGGCGTGAGCCACCAGCGCCCGGCTGTTCACCTGTTTTTTATCTTGAATCATTAACCAGTTAATTTATGTTACTGGTATACAAGAATATACCATATGATCATATGGATTATCAGTGTACAGTACTGTCTTTGTGAGTATCAGTCATAAATTAAGGGACTCATACTTGGGATTAGATATTTTTCACCAGTCTGAATATTACCAAACAAAAGAGGACATGAAATTTGATGGGGGTATTTTGTTGTTGTTGTTCTATTACACTGATTTTATTTGCTTGTTTTAGCCACAGATCCTTTTGCTTCTGTTTTTGGAAATGAATCCTTTGGAGAAGGATTTGCTGACTTCAGCACATTGTCAAAGGTAATCTGCAGAGATTAATGAAAAGGGAAAATACATCAGAGTAGCAGAACTCTCTTAGACATTGCAACTTGATTGCAATAAGTCAGATCAAATACTAATTTCAGACAAAAATAAAAGATAAACTATAATCATAAACATACACAGACTATGTTGATATGGGTAATTATAATTTCCCACTGAAAAGTTTGCTCAGCAACATCATATTTAGAATCTTATGTCCATTTTAAACATGTTTCTTCAAAATGTATTTTTCTTCTGTATTCCACCTGGGTCATAGAGGTAATAGTCATCCATCCTCTCCATATTAGCTACTTGGTTTTCAGACTCTGAGGCTATTAGGGTCTACAATGATCTCTCACCTATGGTGGGCGTTACATTCCAGAGATCCCTGTGATACGTAAAAATCCACGATGTAGCAGTATTGTCCTTCGCTATATCATGGTTCACTTATTGCTTCTTTGCAGATTTTTGCCTATCATAGGAATCTCTGCAACATAACTCCATAGATAATGCCGTAGGTGAGGGATCACTATTTACGTGGGTTTAAAAAAAAAAAACCCAATACAGTATAATAATAAGTAGAGTGAAGAACAACTATACCTAAGGTACTTAATATACAAATTACAATACTAAATGTTCACTACCTATTTTCTAGCATAGATCTAATATTGATTCAGGCCAGTAGAGAAGGATTCAGGGTGTGTCAAATTGTCTATATTATTAACCCCAGTGAATCTGGTAATGTGTAGAGACAAATTTTTACAACTAGATGGAGAATGCTACTCTTATCTGTTGGATAGAGGCCAAGGATGCCATTAAGCATAATGCACTTCTTACTTCTACAACATAGAATTATTCTGTATAGCTGGGTACTGGTGGCTCATGCCTGTATCCTAGCTAGTCAGGAGGCTGAGATCTGAGGATCTCAATTCAAAGCCAGCCTGGGCAGAAAAGTCTGTGAAACTCTTATCTCCAATAAACCACCAGAAAACCGGAAATGGTACTGTAGCTCAAGTGGTAGAGCGCTAGCCCTGAACTGAAGAGCTGAGGGACAGTGCCCAGGCCCAGAGTTCAAGCCCCACAACCAAAAAAAAAAAAAATTATTCTATATACAGTAGTCCCACTGTTGAGAAACAATGGCTAGAGAGATCTGAAATTATAAGCTGGTTCATTACAGAAAAGTAACTCTTTCATAACTCCAAATATTTAAGATAGAATCTTTTAAAAATGACTATTTTAAAAATGACTATTTCATTTGCCTTTATAGTTTGTCTAGATGCCATTTTCTTTTAATTAGTATTCAAATCTTTCCTATATTTAAGTGGATTGAGAAATGAGGAATCACTTATCAATTATCATCTGGCTCAGATATTCATTTAAAGACAGGTGTATATATGGCCCCATTAAAGTAGACCTCAAGGAAGGCACTGGTTGCTCACACCTACAATCCTAGCTTTTCCTTCAGAAATGAGAATTGAGGTTCAAAGCCAGCATGGGCAGACAGATTGGTGAGACTATCTCCAATAAATCAGCCAAAAATATAACTGGAGACATTGTTCAAATAGTAGAATACCAGCTGTGAACTTGAGGCCCTGGGTTTTGTCCTAGTACTAGTACAAAAAAAAAAGAAAGAAAAGAAAAAGAGGGTCTTAGGTGAGTAGTTTTTCAAAAGATATTGTCTGAAATTTGACATCTTCAGTACACAGTTGGCTTGTTTTAATATGATCTAGTATTTTTTATGAGTAGTGAGAGTCACTGTTCATATAGTAGTGATTACCTTTTTAAATCCCATTTGTCCTTGAATACAAAAGGTAAAATGTCTGCTCTAGAAATTAAAATAATGAGTGTGGCTAATGCTCCCATCATTTTTCTAAATGCGGTATGATATGAAATGCACAGTTTGCTTGGTTTTATTTATATAGCCCTATATAAATATTTCTTTTTAAACAAAGGTTAACAATGAAGATCCTTTTAGTTCAGCCACATCAAGCTCTGTGAGCAGAGAGATCATTCCAAAAAATGTGTTTGAGGAAACATCAGTCAAGAGTGAAGATGTACCCCCAGCACTGCCACCAAAGATTGGAACTCCAACAAGACCCTGCCCACCACCACCTGGTATGAGAGTTGGTACCTTTCTTAAATCAACTTGATGCCTTTTCTCTTTCTGAAAATACTGTGTAGACCTTACATAAAGCCATTTTATGTAAGTATGTAAATCAGACACATAGCAGAAGCTTGCTACTGTCATCTGTTCAGGTCTCAGTACAGAAAGATAGGTGCCTAAGATATAAGTATGTTCAACTATCACAAACTGCCTTTTTAACAGGAGCTTCTTTTCCCCCCCTCCTCACTTCCCCCGAATCACTTTAGAGAAATAGAAAGCGGAAAAGAGGAAATACAAGTAAAATCTCTTGGTTCTTTTTTTTTTTTTTTCCCAGTTATGGGGCTTGAACTCAAAGCCTGGGCGCTGTCCCTGAGCTTTTGTTTTCTACTTAAAGCTAGCACTCTACCACTTGAGCCACAGCTCTACTTCCAAATTTCTGTGGTTAATTGGAGATAAGTGTCTTGCAGCCTTTCCTATTCTGGCGTCAAACCATGATCCTCAGATCTCAGCCTTCTGAGTAGTTATGACTACAGGCATGAGCCATCAGTGCCTGGCTAATCTCTTGGTTTTTGAAAGTGTACCAATTATCATTTGTATACCAGTTTCCTGTATTATTGTTTTAATTTTTAGAAGAGAAAGTTAATTTGAAGTCTCCTTTTCCTACAAAATGCAGTCTTCTTTAAATACTTTAATGTGAGAAAATAAGGCTTCTGGTTTTCAGCAGTATAGTAGTTTAAAAGTGTGTTGCCCTTCTTGAAGGAATTTTTTTTTCACTTCTGTGTTTTATAATGGCAATTAACAAATAGTTTGGGTCCAGTATCAGTATCCCTCAACTGAGATCCTCATACTTAGTTGGTTTGTTCATGCACGATAATGCTCTACAACTTGAGCCACACCTCCAGGCTGCATTTTGCTGCTAATTGGAAATAGAGTCTTATAGCCTTTTCTACTTGGGCTGTCTTTGAACTGAAATTCTCTCCAGGTCTCTTTCTAATTTAGGATTACAGGCATGAACCACCAGCACCTGGTTCAGGAACATATTCTTCATAGCTTCATTTTCTTTTTTATTTAGTATTTGTATGTTTAACACTGTAAAAGGGAATGGGTTGTTTCATGACAAGTCATGAAAAGGCAATTGCCCTAAATACTTGTACTGTTGCTCAGCTGCTTAATGAGAAGATATATTTGGCACATTAGTTGTTTAGTCATATATCATTCTTTGGTAAAATTCAGCCCCATTAGGTTATCATTCTTGCCTTTTCACAATAGCTCCTCCTATGGAGCAGATTATTCTTTTTTTTTTCGGGGGGGGGGGTCCGGTCATGGGGCCTGAACTCTGGGCCTGGGCGCTGTCCCTCAGCTCTTCAGCTCAAGGCTAGCGCTCTACCACTTGAGCCA